AAATCGTGAAATTACGTTTAATTATCAAGCCATGAAGACGTATAGAGTAATAGACATATAGACACATACTTGACCTCCGCACTAGATGGAAGTGAGCTGCCAGCTTCACACCTACTCCTCTTTACTCCTCAGTGAGAGATCCCTTGGTATCCATTGACAAGAAACTAAGTGGACTACAGAGCCGGGTTAATCGCTGTCTTTGTCGGTACTCGAGTCCAGATTCCTCGTTCGTCCAGCCCTTGGTCTGGTCACTAAACCGCCTGAGCTATCCCGATTAGCTGATTCTTCTCAGTGTCTAGTAAATTTTTTTCTTTTCGCCTCCTCTGTCTCTCTCTCTCTCTCACACACACACCTACTCAGAGTTTTCCCTTCTCTTTCGCTCCAGTCCAAGTCCATGAACACGCGCTAATGGTACATCTTGACATATATTTACAGAGTATTTCCATTATTTGGCGCTTTATAGGCGATATCGTAACATTTAATGGTCTAAGGCCTTGTCTTCCCTCGGCCTTAACCTATCTACGCCACTTAAAATAGGGTGGTGTCAGGGGGAACTCCATCGAAATCACTTTTTAGTGAACGATGAGGTTTCAAATTGGCCAGGATACATTATAAAAAGAAAAGTTTTGTAGAAAAATGTTAGTTGGCCCTGTGCCTGAACTGGCAACACTGCAGGGGGATCCCGATGACCGCTGTATATCGCTCAGAGCGGACAGCGGTAGAGGAGGAGCAAAGATGAATTCTCTTTTTTGTTGTTTAAAATTACTTTGGAAGGGGTAAGGATCTAGAATGTTCAAGCAGGCAACTACGTGCTTTTCGGAATTGTACTTTGCGTGCCTCAGTATGGTCGCTGTTGCCACTTTGCACTTACCTAGCGAAGTTATATAATAGGTAAATGGGATCAGGCCGCTCGGCAGCACACAAAGGGATGATATTAAAATGTATTTTAAAGAAACGAGACTCGGTATAGCTCAGTCAGTACAGTGGCGGGTTATGAGCTGGACGGCCGGGTTTCGATTCCCGGCAAGGGTAAAAAAAATTATGTATTTTTTGTATTTCTTCAGCATCTGAACGGGGACTGAGGCCCATAAAGCCTCCTATTCAATGGGTACTGGTGATTCTTTCCTCGGGGGTAAAGCGGCCGAAACGTGAAGCTCATCGCTCACCTCCATCTGTATGCATTTCTCATCTCTACCATCCACGCTACATATTTTGAAGACCAATATGTCTTCGCGGCCTAAGCAAAGCCAAAGTTGTCCAATCTAGGAGTGAATACAAACAACTGATATTATACTGAGGAATAAAGAGGTGATCCCCTTCTCGGAATGCTTGCTGCTGTTCAGTTCAAGGCGATGTCTTCGTGGCATCTACCCAAAACCCCAGGAGTAAAGTGTTTCATTAATTAAACACCGCGCCGTGGAGATGTATAAGTGGCAGAGTCGCGAATTTGACCACTCACCTCGATCTAGTGTCGAGGTTAAGAAAGGTGGAGTTATAACTCAAGTCCCCCATACGTCTTCAAGGCATGATGCTTAATTAATTAACCCTGTAATGTCGGGTGGTTACTATTTGCGCCACCTGCTTTAACATACCAGAAATCTGCATTCTTCTCACACATTATATTTTGTGTGGTTCATGTGGTTCTCACAATAAAGAACGGATATGTTTCCTGCGAGGTACGAACTGAATTTATATATGTATGTACATTACTTAGAAGAAAGTCAGTCTTTGAAGGATGTGTCGTTTTACTACGCTATTTACCGTCAAAAAATTCATTGGTCAGAATTGCTGGGTTTTTGGGCTTTATCCATAGTCCGGTATACTAAAAACTACAGAACACAACGTTTCGGAAACCGGATTAGTTTCCGTCATCACGTGAGGAGGGGGACACCTACTCTTTTGGTTCCCTTAGAAATAGCTAATGCCGGGCACAGTAGCCGCGTGGTCTAAGGCATCAACTGTCTTAGATTGTTCGGACGCTGGGTTCGTGTGTTCGAATCCTACTTAGATCATAAATATTTGGTGTGTGCTTGCGTTAATTCTGTTGTCCTGTCTTTAAGTAGCGGTCTTGCGACAGGCTGATCACTCGTCCCAAGGAGTCCTACCGACTGTGACAATGATTGAGGAACTGAACAAGAGACCTGGGCCCTGAATGGGCTGGAAGGCCATTGAAAAGAAAAAAATAGCTAACCTCAATCGGCTCATCAGAGTAGGCGTTTCCCTCCTTACCTGAGGAAGGAAATGGATCCAGTTTCCGAAACGTTGTGTTCTTAGAATACCGGACGATGGGTAAAATAAAAAAATCCACAATTCTGAGCGCTATATACCATACCCTTTAGAATCTAATATTATTGGTACTGGCATGTTTTATTGCTTTCGTCTTAATAATAAATTTCACACCCTAGGTAGGTAAATGTAAAACCTGTTCTGTAATCTAAAGTAAGATAAGTGGTTTGTTAGCTCAGCCGTTAAACTGACTGGCTCTGGAACTGAAGAGTTGCCGTTCGTTTCTAGATTAGGAGTAGAGATTTTTTACTCTGAAAACTACTCGTCTTTTTACCTGCTTCCTATACATATTGTGGATCCTTACTTCTGGGGGCAAAGGGACCTGAGCGTGATATGTTATAAAGGGACAGCAGGTTCTCTACTTTTACATGAAAGTGGCAAGAAAATGTTCAGCTCAACAGAAGGGGCATTAAGGAACCCCCACTGCTCTTCAGTACAAACTACAAGGAATCTGAGATGTAGGAAGACCTTTCTAAGAGGAATATGAACTCAACAATAGTCTTCAGCCTAATCCGTGGAAAAGACTATGGCTCTGTTCCACGAAGTGCCGCCGCCTTTGCAGTTTTCCACGATTCATGGACGAAGACAGATTGAAGAACGGAAATTTTTTAGAGCATTGACTTCAACTGCACAATATATTCCTGTAGAAATCCAATTCCTGCGGCACATTAGAATCATACAAAGCACATGAATACAGTCTGTGGGGATAATGTGATCTCTCTTGATGTTAATGCAGATGATACAAATATTTACCACTCTATTGTAAAAGGTTAAGGGGATTTTCAAAAATCCGGGACACAAAATCGCCGCGGACTACATCACGTCTCACTTCACGATTTATAAAACTCAAAATATCGTTAATATGTATTTTCACAGCAGGAGATCCGGTGACTTCAATCGTTTGCAATTAAACCGTCATAGCTTGAGTACGCAACCTTACGGAATTAAAATCCCGTGTGTGTCTCAATTTCCCGCAGGAGTATGAATAGCAGAAGTATGTTGAAAATAGAATAGAGAACATTGCTAATGGTCGCATGACGCACTAAGTCACCCGTTCAATCCCCCCTCTGCGCTACAGTTCAGGGTGAGCTTGGGTCTCTTGAACAATCTGCCTCCATTCTTCTCTGTTCTTCCATCCATCCGAGGCTGATTGTCTGGTTCCTGAACAATTTAGTTTCTACAGTGTGAGGTTGTTAGTCTCACGCCCAACCCCCAACCTGGAGGACCAGGGTATCCCTCTTCGTCTGACTCCCATTCCTTGACCTGTCCGGCATGGATGACCCTACCAATAGCTACGCTACCGCTGGCATAGCGCTTAGGGTCACCAGTTCAAATAGTATATATACGAGTATTTACTGCCTGCTTTAAGTTCCAATATTTCGGCTTTTGAGCACAAAGTGTGGGCCTTGTTACGTTTCGGAATAAACAGGGACTGTTTTCTCAAACGTCAATTAACTCTTTTCATGGAGATGATGTGTTTTCTTCGTGGTAGATATCCAGTTTTAAAATACTATTTCGGTTATCTTGTTACATTAAAAAAAAAATTTCCTGTTAAAGAGGACGTTCCATTTCGAAACTGTAAATGTCAATGACAGAATTAAAGTGTTGTCATCTCTCCAATCAGGACTCGAAGCCTGACACTAATGTGCTGCCTGGAAGCTCAGTAGTCCCCTACTGTTCTGCTCTGCCGCATTGACGTGTTAATCAAGTGTTATTGTTATTAGCTCCTAAGAGCGACATACTCTTATGTTGCTAACACATGACGCAACATCCTCAAATTTACCTGTAACTTACTTCGTTAATTGGCCGTACGATAGTTCAGGCGGTTATCGCCGGCTTCCCACAACGGCTGCCCGGGTTCGATCCTAAGTCAGCTCCACAGAGCTGAGTTCTTGAGAAACCGCCAGTTGCTCAGCTACTCTAGAATTTTCCAATATTTTACGGAACCCGAAAGTTCATTACCGTGTTCACAAGAGCCCTCCACTGTTCCTTATCCTGAGCCAGATCAATCCAGTCCATAATACATCATCATATTTTTATATCAATCTTAATATTACCCTCCTACCTACGTCTAGGTCTTCCTGGTGGTCTCTTTCCTTCACGTTTCCCACCAAAACCCTATATGAAACCTTCTCCCATGCTTGCCACGTGCTCTGCCAATCTCTTCTTCCTCGACTTGACCATTCTAATCACATTTGGCGAAAAGTCTTTAATGTTGCCGAACGTTACTAACATGAAACAGAATTAAGGCCCTGCTATAAAAATAGCGAAGAAGCATTCAGGAATTATCTGAAATTCCTAAAGAACTTCTTTGAACTGCTTAAGAGAGAACCTAGATCCAGTGTTCACTCTTTACACCTGTTGGTATGTCCCCCTGCGGGGGGACAATTTTAAAAGAAGGTAGTAGAAAGAGACAGAATATTGAGAAAAGGACCTGCCTGAAAAATGGGAGGAGGCAACACAAGAAAAAGAAAGGGAAAAAAAGCGAAACAAGATAGAACAGAACAGAAGAACCTGTTCTAGTGTGGGTAAGACGACGGTGGTGACCAACAATGACTATACGAGAAGTTGTATACAACCAACCAATCAGAGGAGATGTTTAAAAAAAAAAAAAGAAGCGAAAAGCTTTTCCGCGGTAAGTGCGACTGTAGCGCCAATGGTTGCGGCCAGGTACTGAAACTGCAGTCTGTTCTAACCAACCAGTTTGCTGCGTTACTGGGAAGGTCCTGCGAAGGAGCCACAGTGCTCTCCGTAAGACAGAGACGTGTCGCAACGAGCATGGACGAGTTGGAAGACAGTGCGTTCACGCCGGTGTCAGAAATCGAAAACTTATTCTTATTTTTCATAGAGCTATCCCGCCAACATAACAGCAATAGTGATATTAAAGTGGAGGATCAAAACATGATGGATTGAGGTATTTGTTTAACACAGTCTCAAAATAATTTACAAATTTATCACATTATGAAACTAAAATATACCATCTGAAATGGATTATGAAAACATTCGACAACAAAACAGGGAAATAATTGCTCTAGACAGTGATTGCGATTTGCGTGGATATATATTCCATAATAACCTCCTTTATATTTAATTTTATATTGGAAATAGCGAAGAAAATAGTGAGGACGTACTAAATATTGAACAGAAATAAGTGTTATTACTGAGTATGATTTAGGACACGAAATAATTTATCAATATGTATTCAGTATATATTACAAAAAACATTCATGTATGTGACGTTAGGACAATATATGAAGTCGTTTGAAGAAGTTCCATAAAGAATTTTACAGTTCAGTGCCACTAAGACGAATAGTTCCAGATATAAAAACTAGAAAATATATATTACCGTCACCTGCAAAGAAAATGCCGGAAATGTCATAGTTAAATAATCCATAAACAAAGATAATACGGCGTTAATCATGACTGAAGTGCATTAATTGGCGTTGTAAGATCTACAATTGGTGTTCATATTTTCATGGCTTATATTTTCGAGAAATAAAAAGACTTTTAATTACAAGAAAAGTGCAATGATGTGATGATCCGGAAACTGGCGGGGTCAAACATCAGCTGCTGTGTTTCGTCAATAAGCAGGAAATACGTCATCGAAAGAAGAAGAAGGAAACAGAAAAACAAAAAGGAAAAGTCAGTGAGGCAGCAGGAATGGCCACCCTCGGCCTATCCAAAGTGTTCATACTGGACAAGTACTTCACTGAATTACAAAAATTCTGGGAGACAGAAAAGAGACTACAAGGTAAGTCAGTCATGATCCTACACGTAACGTTTCAGTATGAATCCTAGTCCCATTTTAACTGCGCACATTAGGGCTGTTAAGATATGCTGTTAGTCATGCTGATACTGCTAATTTGTCAACAATAATATTATTACAGTAGTTATATTTAGTAAGTCTGAGTAAAATATTTCGTGATTCAAGTTGACACTACTAACAGATGAATCATAAAGTTACCATCTGAAAGTGATATTTAGTAAGCCTGAACAAGTCAAGGAGGTTGAGGTGGGTGGGACATGTAGTACGAATGGGGTAGAAGAGGAATGCATATAGGATATTAATGGGAAAGCCAGAAGGAAAGAAACCATTGGGACGACCAAGGGATAGGTGAGTGGTCAATATTAAAATGGATCTTAGAGACACAGAATTGGATGATATGGATTTGATTGATCTGGCTGAGGATAGGGACCAGTGGAGGGCTCTTGTGAACTTGGTAGTGAACCTTCGGGTTCCATCAAATGCTAGGAAATTCTTGAGTAACTGCAGAATTTGCGGCTCCTCAAGAAGGGCCAAACTCCATGAGTAAGTAAGTAAGTAAGTACATTAGGGCTGTTAAGATATTTCGTTATTCATGATGACGCTGCCAATTTATCAATCGTAATATTATTATGCTAGTTATATTTAGTAAGTCTGAGTGAAAACATTTTGTGACTCCAGTTGACACTACTGATGGATCAATCGTAAATTTACCATCTGAAAGTTATATTTACTTAGCCTGAGCAGGATATTTTATCATTGAAGTTGGCAGTACTAACAGAGCGATCATAAAATTATCACCAAATTATATTTAGTAAGGATGTATAGCTCAAGCGGTTAGTCGCTGGCTTCCCACCGCGGCGACCTGGGTTCGATCCCGGGTCTGGTCAAGTGGGATTTGTGGTGCACAAATTGGCTCTGGGGCAGATTTTCTCCGAGTACTTCGGTTTCCCCTGCAAATCTTCCTTCCACCAATTGCTCCACAATCACCCTCACCTATCATCTGGGGCTGGTGCAATAGGCCAGAAGTGGCCGCAGTAGAAGGGACTTAGTCCCACCCCACTAGCAATAAAAAGAAGGATGTATAAGATATTTTGTGGATAGGTTGGCACTATTAATCAATCAATTCTTATTGTCATTCTGGCTGAATCCAGACTGTTTCACGGCGGTGACTATGAAGAATGCCGTTTTCTTGGATGTGGCACCATGCAGATCTTGTGTAAACAGACGTTTCGGAGGAACGTGTCGCCTTCATCTTCAGGGTATAAAAATCCGCTGCAGCCACTTGCTCACGCTGGTTCCTCGCTCGAGGATTTTTCTACCCTTAAGATTGATGCGACACGTTCCTCCGAAACGTCGGTTCACACAAGATCTACACGGCGCCACATCACAGAAGACTGCATTCTTATGATACACTCATTCCGCTGTCACCTTATCATGAGTGAGTGTTAAGGACATGTGTAAGATTTGGCGTCATGGTAGAGAGGCATTGCCACCAAGGCAGAGTGATTGCAGCTGGCTTCACTGGAGCACGAGTACACAGGTTAAGAAATAAAGTATTCTGAAATAACTTGTCTTATCTAAAGTAAAAGTAGAAGTTGTCCCTGTGCTAAACTAATTAAGCATTACGCCTTAAAGGCGTATGGGGGAGTGGATGTATAAATCCACGTATTCTTTACCTCGACACTAGTTGGAGGTGAGTAAATTGTCATAGCTAAATGTAATAAAATTAATTAATTAATTCTGCGTTTCCGCTTGCGAGAACTAGACAAAGACAAGATAAAAATTTTTAAATTATCTTCAGGAAATAAAATGAGAAGATGAAGATTGGATTCATCTGAACCAGGATTTGGTATGGTGGTCGATTCTTGTGCATTCGATAATGAAATTTCGGATTCCAACAGGAGAAGAATTTATTGACTAGAAGATGAAAGCTCAAAAGGGATTCTGTTGCATGGAGTTAGCCACCTGTTGCTAAAAGGAAGTTAAAGCTATCCCTGTAACAGTCCACGGAAGCTTATAAGGTTGTGAGACGTCGAGGCTCCCACATCTTCTCTAGACAATCGGCTCACAGATGGCGGTGAGGTTGTCAGCCTTACGCACTGGCCGTCCGTTACTCTCAGGAAGATTCCTGGTACTCGTTTCTGTTAGAAGCTGAGTCAACCCCAGGGCCATAGTGCGGCTGGAAGGATTAGGTCAATTGAAAAATCCAATGACCTCATCTGGAATTGAACCCTCGACCTTCCGGCTTGTACCACAGTGCCCAAACCAAGTATGCTACTCCGTCGAAGAACATCCTTTTCCGGCTATCCGCGACTGCTTAATCAATAGCCTATAGTCCGTCCACTCTCCGAACGAGGATATGTCATACTCTGAGTAGGTAACGTTACAGAAGCGAAGTTCTGTATATCTGAACTTCCCATTAGCGTACGTTGAAAATAGAATCTAGTGCCTTTCTAATGATGACGTAATGGTCTGGCGATGACATGCTTGCGTTCAAGTAGTAGACCGAGTGCAGCAGATATTGCTGTATGCAGATGTGCATAGATATTTCAGATATTCTAGTGATAAAACGAAAATCGAAGAACCCTCACAGAGCTCGTGATCCCATGAAACCCAGATTTGGAATCACTGGCCTAGTCTACAGTATCATTACTCTATTGCCACAAGCCGGAAGGTCGCGGGTTCGATTCCCGATGAGGTCATTTAATTCTTTCAATTGACCTAATCCTTCCGGCAGCACTATGGCTCTGGGGTCGACTCAGCCTCTAACAGAAATGAGTACCAGGAATCTTCCTGGAGGTAAAGGGCGGCCGGCGCGTAAGGCTGACAGCCTCACCGCCATCTGTGAGTCGATTGTCTGGAAGATGTGGGAGCCTCGACGTCTCACAACCTTATGGACTTCCACGGCCTGTTGCAGGGATACCTTTACTTTTAACTAAGGTATTCGTTATGAGCACCAAGAGGATAAAATGCACGCGTGATACTGATGTCGTTTTTTGTTCCTGAAAGATTTTCACAGGAGGTCGCTGTGTATTGGTTCCTTCGTGGGAAGGTTCCGGGTTCTAGTCTCAGCTTGGAGACTGACTATCGTGATTGATGCGTCTCGTGTTCTTCAGATTCTCACAATCATTTATGTAAACATATGGATTAGAATCACTGAGAATCTGATAGTTGTAAGATTTGAGGCTTTCACGGCGGTGACTATGAAGAAAGCAGTCTTCTGGAATGCCAAATCCCAGAAGACTGCTTTCTTCAATCTGATAGTTGCTCTCGCAGTTAAGAAATCTCAATCTTTTGGGCATCCAGAAAGTCGATTACCGTACTCATAAGAGCCAATAGGTGGTCTCTATACATCACATTCTATTGCTCTAAAATCCATTTTAACATTATCTTCCAGTCTATGCCTGTTAAACTGTCTTTTCCCTTAAGATTTTGCGACTTAGTAACTTAAATTTATTTTACCTTTTTTTCTTTTGTGTGTGTGTGTGTGTGTGTGGGGGGGGGATGTCAAACTTAACTGGTTTGTATTCGAGAGAGTTACAAAGTAAAATTCATGTTCTTTCCAGTTCCCCTTTTCAATTCGATATTTCTACCCGCTTGAGAACCTTTGTTCTTCTTTTACGGCGCTCATATTTCATCTGCAAACTTCCACCTGTACCGCAAGAGCCCACATCTTCCTCAAAGCATCAGTCTGCAAGGATAACAATGCATGTTTCATGCAGACCCTGAACGCAAAACCGTGTACGTCAGGACGTTATTTACTTCATGCCACTCCATAACAACTCCGGGGTTTGAATCCCGTACTGCATGAACCTCTACGTTAATATTTTCGAAGACTTATCTGAGATTCTTACTGCAGTGACCATGTATAATATGCCCTTCTGGGATACGACGCCGTGTAGTTCGGAGACAGCCCTACAGTGAAAACGGGAGCGATATATTCCTCCGAAACATAGGGCTGTCTCCGAACTACAAGGTTATAACGACCCAGAAAGCCGTAATCTCAAATATTTTTAATGTCTGTAACATTTGAGGCTTTCACTACAGCGGATTCTGGGTTGCAACACCGTGTAAATTAAAGGGAACCCAACATTTCGGAAGGATATATCGCTTTCATCTTCCTGGTCAGATTCTCCGAATTACAGGGCGTTAAAACCCAGAAGCGCGTACTTCTCAACATTCTTAACGTCTGTGAGATTTGATTTTCTCACAGAGGTGTCTCTGTAAAGTACTTTCTTCTAGTATATGATGCTGTGTATACCGGTAGAAGTTTACCGACGTTTCGGAGGAATGTACTGCCTCCATCTTCAGGGTTAATGAGTAAGTCAAGCAAAATTTAAGCAACAAGCAGAATTTTATTCCACTTCGTTTCCTTCCTTTTCAACCCTGAAGATGGAGGCAGTAGGTCTGAAACGTCGTAAACTTCCACCAGACTACACGGTGTCACATCCTTGTAAGAGAAGACCTGGCATGTGAGTTGTAAGTTCAGATGTAGTTACAGTGAGACTGTTATAATTCCGTTGCCAGGATGCGACTAGTGAAGACAGAAGATTAACATGTCCTAGTGATTTGTAAAGTGTGGAGATTAACGACAGCGCTATACTTGTTTGTAGTACGAATTATAAGTGGTCAATAAAACCATTCACCAATCCAAATTCAGTCTAACAATCACATAAATACGTTATAATATCGTATTTCAACAGAATGTATGGAACAGTTGATGCGATATAGGATAATTTCCATTTAAGGTCTTATGCAAAATGGGCTCTGTAATCGGTCAGTGTGGCTAAAAATAATAATTGAAGACTAACATTATAGACATATATTTCGTACTGAATTTCGCCAAAATCTGAACAAACGTGTATGATATAATCATATAAGAAAGAGTTCATTTTCGATCTTATTCTAAGTAATACACTTTCTTATGGATCTTATCCGGTCTAGAAAACTGAACTTAACAGCCGTGGGAATTCGTTGCGCTGACC